GCTTATTAAATGGAAGCATTTTTTTAGTGAATTGCGAAGACTGTGAGCCTATCTATCTATCTATTATCTATCTATCTATCTATCTATCTATGTATCTATCGATCTATCTATCTATCTATCTATCTATCTATCTATCTATCTATCTATCTATCTATCTATCTATCTATCTATCTATCTATCTATCCTGCCCGTATCGATAATGGTATGAATACCAAACTTCGTTTACCATAACACGCCTGTATTATGAGCATTAGTGACTAGTCATAACATGAAAATCATGACATGGATGTCATTAAAATCATGGTTTACATTTCATGGTCTTGCTGCTCTTTCAGGTGGTTTGGTTCACATGACATTTCACAAAACTCGTATGGTATAACTTGTACTGCATAGCGAACATAAGTGACAGACCGCAACGCGGAACTCATGACATAGCGCGTCATTATTTTCATGTTATGACAAGTGATGACTACAGCCCACACTCATGATGCGCACACGGTCGTTTCGCTTGCGTCACATATACCAAATTTGGTATTGCGGGACGTCAATTATTGGCGAAATTACATGACTGGTGCAAACACGATAATTAAGATATGCGTGTCATGTAATAACATCACTACATATAACACTCATGATGAGCTCGAGGCTCTATCGCTAGCTTCACATATACCAAGTTTGGTATCACGTGGCGTGAATGGACGACGAAGGTAAATGACACGTCCAAACATAATAATCATGACATGCGTGTCATGTAAGACATAACTACACGTTATGCTTAGAGCGTGCCTGCGGCTGCTTCCCTAGTTCCACATACACCAAATTTGGTATCAGGTCACGTGAACGGACGACGAAAGTAAATAACACGTCCAAACATGATAAACGATATGCGCGTATTGTGAAACATGATTACATGCTACGCTCATAGCGTGTTTGCGCCCGTTTCGCTTGCTCCACATGTACAAAGTTTGATATTGCGTGACGTGAACAGACGAAAAAGGTAAATGACACTTCCAAACATGATCATCTTCACATGGAAGTCAAGTGCGGCATAATTTACGTCCACCTTGTAACATTGTGTTCACTTTAAAGTGACATATTAACCTTCCTTCTTCGTGCTTCGCATATCATTGATTCCCACAGTACGCGGGATCTGCCAATTTCCTTTTTTGTTGCCAGGAGGGGCCACGCACTCTACACTTATAGTCATCGCCCTTGCTCAATGCAGCAAAAGATGTACAGACTAAAGCACAATGACGACGGTGATTTTGTCACAGTTTCGTAGTTCGATTCTTTTGCCGCAATGCAGACTACTTCACAGGTAATTAAAGCCCAAAGATTATGTTTCACTGTTAACCAACCAAATGCAAACTTTACTCCTAACACCGGCGTTAGCGGCTAGATAAATTTCAACTACAATATAGGTTTGAGGCATTTTGGTGAGATGAATGCCGTGACGAAAATTGTTGGAGCAGCTAGACGGCACTGTGAGTAGCAATTTAGCAAACACATGCGCTCTGTTGTGGATTTGGTTCTTTAACAAAAAATAACACTACATATAACATGAGGCGTCATAGCTGAATCTGTAGTAAAAAGTACATGTTGAGTGTTTGTCACAACAAATGAAATTGACTTGATTTGAAGTGGAGGTTCTACGGGATACTCTGGAAGGTAAATTTACAATTCCCTGATCTTAATAGAACATTTTCAACTTGTATAAAGAGAGCACAGGTTTTTTAGACCGCAAAGATTTTTTATTAGTGATTAACAATGAACACAAAGCACATAAACTTGGAGGATGCTTGAGCTTGGTTTTCGTGAACAGAACATGGTAAGGTAATCGTGCCCCAGGCCCACCGTCTTTTGGTTTGCTATCCTACGTTCTCTTCTCGGTGCATAGCTCAGCTGTGGCGTAAAGAAACGAATGACTGCGCTAGTTACACTTGCCTTTTCAAAGTTCTCTAGAATTTTCACTCCAAGTCGAGCTCTTAGATGCTTACTACGTTGCAATTCTTCCTTTTGTGAATCAGCGAAGAGTCAACTAAGCGTCCCTAAGAGAACACGCGCACATATGCAACTGTTCACTCTGCTTATGTTTTTGCAGCTGATGAATAAATACTTCTGAGCGCTTTGCAGTGGGTGAGCTCTTTGGAACACTCCTCGGTGCATCTCACAGGTATTTGCGCCTGACGTGATTTTACGCTTCCGCCACGCAATACTGTATGCATTAAGGAGGTTACTTTAAAAGCATGACATTCATACAATGTGTGATTTTCTGAAGTCTCAAGCACTAGCGTGGCTTTGTAGTACACCACCTGCTTGCAACTCAGGCGGCTTGAGTTCGAATCTCACTCGAACCGAAAATTTTTAAAACTTTCTTTTATTTGGAACTTTCTCAATTTTCAATGTCGGACGAAATTACTTTTCCGTCCCAACGACGCCGACGCCAACACTACAATTTTCTTCGAAACGAGCTCACTAATGCTATTGCGTTCAAATTATGCTGAGTAAACGTACAGTCACCATGCTTATTGATGCGTTTTTCTTTTGCTGGTCGCAAGCTAAACGAGTCATGCTGTACGAGAACGCAATACACCTGCACAGAATAGATTTTACAACTTACGCATTTTACTGTTCCACTCGTATAGTGCACATGCTTTCTATCAGCATGGTAGTGCACGCTTTAGCATTAGGATGATGCATGGAAGGGTACTTTATGGGTAAAAACAAAGTTGTGGCAGCAAATGGGCGCTTCACAACACCAGCGTTACGGGTTAAGGCAGACTGCAGGCTATTCTTCGACACTGCACCTCACCATCAAGGCAGAGCGCATGAGCTTCGTGTTTGCCACCCATTTTGATGCGCATGGAAGCTGCAGCCTCCACAACTAGCCCAAAAGTAAGAACGGTGTTAGTTGCAGCAATTTCTTTCAACGCATAGAATGTCATATTGATTTACTTTTTGAAATTGTCGTTCTGAACTAGAACGTTGTGTAAGGTACTGTTAATACGCTTGGTATTTCGTAAACGTTATTCAATATCGCTGTTTAGTCACTGCAGGGCCCTTTTTGCCGCCGACATGGTATATGTACATTTCATTTGCCATTTTCAATTGCACCAGAAAGATCTTGCTAGACGAGAACATTCAGAATGGTCGAAATCTGTTCAACTGTTTTTTAAGCATCAAGCTGCAACTCAGAGAGCTCTGCAGTGCTCTTTGTTAAACTTCGCAGCACGGCTGTCATTTGATAACGTAATAGCCACGTGTCGCTCGTTTGCTAGACATGACATAGTGACGTGTATTTTCATCTGGGCTCCGACTGCTTTGGTAAACGGCAGCACGTTCGGCTCAGACACACAAACGCCCTCAAGCTTGAGTGTACAGTACGCTCACTGTTGTTGTAATCTGACTGAATGCACGGTGCCAACCAGTCGAACGTATACCAGCAGTTAGGTTTCATGTGCTTACTGCTGGTTTCGAACGCCTTCCCCAAGTAGGTAGGATTATCTATTGCCAAACAAGCAGTGTTACCGATAGTTTCAACGTCCTTTACGAACTGGTATACTGCGTAACGCTCTCACGACTACTTTGCACATAAAACAACATCAGGAATTATGATAGCTACAGAAAAGCAAAACGCACAGTCTCGAGAATGCAATGGCTCAAGCATAACGTATTTCGTTTTGTATTTCAAGCGTTTTTAGTGAGCAGGCACTTGTTGACCTGCGCAGCTAACATAAGTGTCTTCAGCACTGCTTTCCTGCATGTGTAATTGTGTTCTTTTTTTTTTGCATTTTCAGTTGTTTAAATGTATAGTGTTGCACCAGTGAGCAGAACGTCAGGCGGAGTAGAGGCGAAGGAGGACCGAAAAAGGGGTTAAGCGTAGAAAAGTCTTTTGTAGTATGCAGCACATGGAAACGTGGTTACACGTAGTTAAAAGCCATTCTGGGACGCTTGAAGAGGTTTTCCTTCGAGTCGAATCAATGCAAACGACGAAGCCATCTTTCGCAGAGTTCCCTTGTTTGTTCAGCGCAGATAAAAAGAGGGTGACCTTTCTAAATAAACAATGTGCCAATTTGAGCTAGTACACTCTGGTCTACGGTACAGCATTTTTCGGCAAACGCGGACAAAGGCGTTAGGCACATATACAATATATTTACGTGATGTTCAAGATAGAAAAAGAAAATTCCCAGAGACAGCCAGCTTCACACTTCGACCCTTCGACACCGCTCTTTTTACCTCTTGTGACTTACAATAATGTAGTATTATACATATAATAAAGTGGTAATAGCAACAAGGATAGAAACTGTTTTTCGCTGGTGTGTTTTGAAACACATATACAAAGCAGCGACAGGGTGCTTTATTGATAGTTGCATAAACTATAACTAAGTTGGATAGAAAAACTGTGCCATATCTGTTTGAAGGAGCAATTTCCATCACTGGCGAGAGGGCAGTGATGAGATACCGAAAATATTTGTCATCATTGCTGACTAGCACCAATATCACAAAAATTTGGTGGACATAATTATCATCTGAGACATAAAATATGCCTGTTTCTGATGCATAATAATGAACTAAACTATCGTTTCTGCGTGTTTTGTAACAGAGTTATGAACTGAAGGTTATCCATTTTTGTAGTTACGTTGAAATTAAGGCCAATTTAAATAAAAACGAACAAGTAACATTGCTTTCTTTAAAATATTCAGAGTCTATATGGCTTGGCTTGCAAGAAATGCACCTGTGCGTCGAACTGACACAAAAGGCAATGTTATCATTCTGCATTGAAGAGACATTTTTGAGTGACAGTTCAACCTCATACTGGCTTGAAAAACGCACATGACTGAGCCCTGCAACAATGCTTCATATAAATCCTTGAAGTGATTTGCATCCTACTACAAAAAAATTATGCGTATATTACGTCCAACTCCCGACAATGCCACAAGGCAAGGTTAAAACGATTCTATGGAAACAGCTTCTAAAAATATCGAGGAAACAGACCTGCCAAATTCGCATAAAAAGCGTCCATCGTTACAAGGCAGGCAGACAGAATCGTGCAGCCAAGCAGCCGCACCATGAAGTCCACAAGCTTGACTGCAGTGGTCCTCAGCCTGCTAAGTAAGTGCGGAAAGTTGCATTTGTTCATAGTTCTAAAAACTCCTTAACGGCATAATTTGTCTGTCTCTTTAATGAGAATTATTATATTTTTACATTGTAGCGCTCAATATTACTATAATATGTAAACCATTTCTGAAAGTGTGTAGTAGCAGTATAGTGGAAAGAACTTTTCTCTAAATATTATCGCAGAAGGTTAGCCCGTATTAAATTAACACACGTCTGCATAAACTGCAGTTGAGCAGGTATCTGCAACCTGTCTGCCGAAAAGAAAAGAGAACTGTTTATCACAATAGAATTTCTATGATAAACTTCTCATAAAGTACTGATAGTGACATTTTTTAAGGAAAACTGTGCTCTTCAAAAGAATATAAGCAAGCTCTCATTACCAGTTTTCGAAATAGGAGAATTAAGAAAGCATTGAGTATATTTTCCTACACATTAAAATAGACTCAATATTATTGAAAAATGCTTATCAACTCAAGTTTTCACTGAAGTTTTTCTCCAATACACCGTGCCAATGGCTGTCCTCCTCAATATAATAATTCACGACAGTGACTGCAGAAATCGTTGAACAAACAATCATTTGTCAAGTTATAACTACCAACCTTTCACGGAAATATTGCGAAGCACATCAATTTTCGTAATACTAACAACGATATAAGTTGTGTGCAACATCTAGAATATTCAGACAACCGTGGTTTATGAATGGAATACGTGAAGTACTGAAATCACAAAGGAAAAAAAGATTGTGATGAAAATTGTCGAAAAACAAATGTTCAAAGACGCTAACGTTGCCAACGTTTCTAGAAGCGAACTAGTCTCCATCATGGTAAGAACAGTCGTTGCAGAGACTAGGTTTGTTCAAAAATTCTTCGTTGAATAAAAATTTCATATTTTTCGAACTTCTGTCTCGGAGAGATATTTCATAGAAATGCCAAATAGGCCCTTCATTTTTGACATACCAATTCATTTCTTGCAACCCTGATCACCTATTTCCTTATATCTATCATGAGCCTTCCCTTTTTGCAATCTCCACTTACATTTTCTAGCGCTTACACCTCATTAGAATTCATGACTGGCTTCTGGTGTCGTATCTGTGCGCTGCTTTTTGGCGTTTCAATAATTCTAATTTCTCGCATAACCATCTGGCTGAATATTGTACTGACGCTTAGAACTCCTTTATAAATACTATAGAGGGCTAGCACATGTTGCGCAATGTTCCATTCATTGCACAAACTTGAAGTGGCCTTACAGTCGGCCATCGAGGGGGCCAGCGTACTATAATTACTCTGACAGTATCGCCACGAGTCGAGTCAGTACTGGGAATTCGCCGCAACACTGGGTCGAAATTGACTATTTGTAGCATCTTCGATGGTAGAGGTATTGATGCGCCTGGTGAACCACTTGCAACTTAAGATGGTCACAAAAACAACATCGTTACATTGAAGTAGAGTGGTTTAAAATATAACATTCGTTGCACTTTACTGTCACGAACATAGCAGATCCTTCAAATTCGTAGTTGCAGAGGAGCCCAGGAGTCCAGCGAGCGCGCCTAGAACCACACCAGTGTTAACTCCTTAACATTTCGCATACAGAGCTTATGTCTGCCGTGCAATGTTTTATGTGAACGCCGTTGACTTAGATCAGCAAAAGCAGTCCCTTGGTCAAACTAAGAGAAAAAAAAAACTTCGAACGGTGAATGAGAGCCAGACTTAGTTCAGCTAGAGTATTTAAAACACATTTATTTCGCAGTCATTTTTTCTCCTTGCCGAGATGAAATGGAGTTTGATTTGATTTGATTTATTGTTAGTGCTTAGTACACGTACGATGATGTTGTTTCCAGGGTAAACAAACCATTTTTCGGGCATTCATAGCCCCCGTTCAACGATGTAATAACTGATGTCTTTGCCAGGAATGAAGTAATTCCACATAATTTTATCCAACAATGATTTCCTTCGGTATAGGATCCCAACTACGTTTTACAATGTTCGTGTGCACAATGGATGTCTTATATCTCAAAACTACATTTGCAGGCCAGCAAGTCATCGCAAGCTGGTATGGAAAAGGCTACTACGGCGTTGGGAATGGCTTCGGTAGCGGCTTCGGAGGCGGATACGGCAGCAGATATGGAAGCGGAAGCGGACTAAGCGGCTTCGGGAGCGGCTTCGGTAGCGGCTTCGGTAGCGGATACGGCAGCGGATTAGGCAGTGGATTTGGAAGTGGAAGTTGGCTGAGCGGTGTCGGAGGCGGCCTCGGAGGTGTATACGGTATCGGAAATGGACTGAGTGGATTCGGTGGAAACGGTGGCTTGTGGGGTTACGGCTATGGCAGCCCGAGGGCCATTCTTTACCCCATTGTTTTGCCAAGCGGAAGCGGCAGCTTGTGGGGACCTAACGGTGGCTGGTACGGAAACAGCCCTGTCGGGTACTGGGGGCCTTCGAGTTCTCCATACAGCGTATGGTTTTCCGGACCATCTGGTGTTAGTCAACCTGGCGCTGGACTGTGGGGTCCCCGCATGGTAGGTTCACCTGCCACCTGGTACACGTGGGGCAATCTCGGTGGCCAAAGTCCTTCGGGTGGGCTCTACAGAATGCCGTTGCTTGGAGGAACCGGAGACCTCGGCGGAGTCGGGCCAAGCGTGTACGATGACATTTACGACGACAGCACTTCTGTAGGCAGCTTTAGTCCATCCAGTTGGAGCAGCCGAAATGGCGGTTCTGGATTTCCGAGAAGCCCAAGCAGCTTCAGCAGCTTCAGCAGCCTCAGTGGTAGCAGGGCTCCACAAAGCGGTATTGGCGGCAGTTTCAGCCTCTTTGGTGACGACACCGACAGCTATAACGGTCTGAGCAGCGGAAGTGATAGTTACGGCAGTGTGAGCAGTCTGCCCAGTTTTGTTCAACTGGGAGGACTAAGTGGATATGGCGGCATGAGTTACTATAGCAGTCCCTACATGAGAATGCTGTGCCGCGTCACTGGTCTCTCGCCAAGTAGACTGCAGCGCCTTTACAGGAAGTACAGAAGAAGCGGCGTCAGATCCAGCTTTTTGACTTACCTGAGGCGAAGGGGCTACCTCGGCGGCTACTATGGTGGGTTCCCCTTTGGTTTTACACAAGGTAGTGGAAGCCAGCCAGGAAGTGGTGGAAGTTTCTTCAGCTGGGGTTCACAGCCGAGTTACTACTACAGCTGGGGAGCTCCCGGAGGAAGCTATGGTGGAAGCTCTAACGGTGGATTCGGTGGATCTTCAAATGGTGGATATTCTATCTACCCGTCAGGAAGAGCCTCTAGTGGCAGCAACTATTGGAGTTCAGGAAGTTCAGGCAGTGTTTTGCCACAGGGTGCGCAAACACAAATGAAAGTGCTGTTGTAATAAGGATGAATGCAACAGTTCAGAGCTAACTCGAAAGCTGCATACGATATGTCGTGTCACTTGCTTATTTGGCTACCGTGCATTCTCGTTTGAAAATAAAATTCACTGTTATGTTCATGGAAAACTTTTGCATTTATAGAGCGCATGTTCCTTTCAATATTTATCTAAGGTCATGTTGCAGAAACGCAACAACAATGAATTCCAACGACCATGCTAGTATTTGCGAACACGTTTTTTCATGCAGACTTATAATAGGTGTGCAGCAAGAACATGTCACTTGAAAAAGGAGGCAAAGTGATTTTGAGCAAGAAGTTTAAAGGTACTTTATCGCCCGTTACTTCGAATATTCCGCGACCAAAATAAAAAACGGCAGATCCCACTTACCTGGTAATTGACCTTATAAGAATGGGGAGGGAAGGTGAACGTGTAGCAATTTTTTTATTGAACTACACGTCATGAATTGACGACTTGCACAAAGATGCCAACTGGAACTTGCGTATTAGCAACACCAGAAGCTGATATGAAGCGCTGATGCCAGCGAGGATGCTGGCCGTGTACACTGCTACATAAATCAACTTCAGCGCATGGCAACTAACCACAATTGACGTGAACTCAATGTGACCACTCTATCAAAGGAGTACATATGTAATGTTTATAAAATTGGGTTGGCAGCACTGTAACGACTACTGACGTTTCACGAAGATTAGCGTCTATTCGATAAGTAGTTCCGAGACCTGGCGTAGCTCTGTGATGAAATGCTTCATTGCCACGTAGAATTCTTGGGTTTGAGTTCAGCTGGAACCATGACATTTAATCCTTCCATTTGTCAGGTCGACGCTACCGATGTCGCGTATTTTTTAACGCTCACGTGTTAAAGTTGCCCAGTTGTGTTCTCGTCGTTCTTGGGTAGATACTAAGTGTCAATCACCTTTGCCACATACCCGCATACTAGAGGCACATACCCGCCCGTGAGTCTGTGCCACTGTCTGGCGGGAGTTGTTTGACAAAGTAAGCGACGGGATTGTGGCATTATTCATGTATTGATCAGCGCGTCATATTCATCAAACCATCCTACCCTACTATGCTAATTGTGGTTCACCTCAAGTTAAGGGGTTGACCATGAGGGCATTCAAGTGTAAGTGGCTAGATAGATAGATAGATAGATAGATAGATAGATAGATAGATAGATAGATAGATAGATAGATAGATAGATAGATAGATAGATAGATAGATAGATAGATAGATAGATAGTAGATAGATAGATAGATAGATAGATAGATAGATAGATAGATAGATAGATAGATAGATAGATAGATACGCTCAAAATCGCCAAAGTTCTTCGCTAAGAAGTACTTCGCATATGAAAATCCAGGCTTTCGCTGAACGCGCAGTACTGTCACAGCGAAAACTGGACGTACGGCCTTTCAGAGCCTTTATTAGCACTCTGCGTATCCGTTGCAAGCACACTTGCAAGGTGCCGTCTACGTTATAAATCATTGTGTAGTATGCAGGCATTCAATATGATATCCTATGTCATCCTTCGGAGAAGCGTGGTATCTTCTTCACAAGTGCAACAAACTTTGTGCCACCTCCGCCGCGGTGGTCTAGTGGCTAAGGTACTCGGCTGCTGACCCGCAGGTCGCGGGTTTGAATCCCGGATGCGGCGGCTGCATTTTCGATGGTGGCGGAAGTGTTGTAGGCCCGTTTGTTCAGATTTGGGTGCACGTTAAAAAACCACAGGTGGTCGAAATTTTCGGAGCCCTCCACTACGGCGTCTCTCATAATCATATGGAGGTTTTGTGACGTGAAACCCCACATATCAATCAATCAACTTTGTGCAATTTCTTTGTGCCATGGCATACTACGATGTAGAACTATGCCAGACGATATTGTAATTTGCACAAGCACAATCCCCCACAGTGGCTTTGCGCCACAATTAATAGGCGAACGACATGAAGCTTTAGTAAAAGGTTGGAGCATTAGACGGCAGACTTGTAGCGCAATTAGCATTCCGCGACATCTGGTTCTTCTTTTGCGCTTATCAAACAATTCATTACTCCAGTTTATGCAATTCTTTTACTGACATGAAGGCTGCCTAAGACCAGGTTCCAAAGGGATTCCAAGCACCGGCCTGACAGAGTGGTATAACACTGGAATGACGCGCAGGCCACCCATGTCCAAATTCTATTCTGTTTGTTGTGTCTTTTATTCATTCAGTTTTTTTTATTCCGCACAATAGTGGTTATCGGGCACCGGCGACGGCGGACAAGTACGGCGCGCACGCGAACACGCGAACCGTATTGTGATCCTATAAGAACCTTCGCTGTAAAATGTCTGAACTAACCATATGCCGAATTATCGAAAGTAATGAAACAATGATAACGATGGGTCAATAGCATTGTCATTGTGCGTAAGGACCAAGTAAAAGCGAGAATTTTTGTCGATTGCTACTTTGTTCACAAGGCGACTTCGGTTTTATACCTGTGACTCTTAAGCTGACAAGGACTGTGAAGCTGTTTCTTATTCCATTTTGCCAATTCACACACCTGAGAAGTTGGTTGTTTTTTCTGCGGAAAAAATGCCTGGCAACTAATACTTTGTCTATCAACTGTCGCTAGCGAGTTTTCGCCTAGAATTCAGACCACGACTGAAGCGCCTATTCTCTTTATCTTCAACAGCTTCCGGTAAGCCTCGGTGGATTAGGGGCTACGGTTCTCGGCGGCTGACCTGAACGGCGCGGGTATAGGGCCATGTACTGTGTGATGTTAATGCACGTTAAAGAACACCAGATGACATATTTCTGGAGACCTCTACTGTGGCATCTCTGTATTCATATCATGGCTTTCGGACGTAAAAAATCACATACTTTTAGCATTATTATCGATAGCTTCCACGACGTTTGAGTTTTGCGACAGTGCGCGTTGATAGGGCAAAGTAGAAATGAATTTACTCATATTGCACTCCCTGTTGACAAATTGTTTACAAATTCGTAGTCACTTAAACACAATAATCAAATCCCCACAGCTCCCCCCCCCCCAAAAAAAAAAAACGCTTGTAGCCTCCTACGTATAATTTCTGAAGGGTAACAATATAGCCGCAGCCGCTGCAGTACTTGTACCGAACATGCAATTGTACGATTGTGGATAGCGACCACGCCATTCTGACGGCCAGTGGACGTTTCATCTGTTCGCAAATGCTGTTTTCACTTTTTTTGCGGCGCATATTTGGGGCAATTTGCATGGGGGAATTGGCAAATCTCAATTCTGCGACAGCGCATGAAGATGGAGATGAAAAAATGAAAAAGAAAGCGACGACTGACCATGTGTACCCGTTTCAGCAGGTCAGTGCGTGGTGTTCTTGATGCGGTGCTCCACCCTCTGCCTATCAAGAGAGGGTGCGTGATTACGCGAAGCTACGCACCCTATCTCCCCGTAGAAAGGGGTTGCGGTGCCGCGTGGAGATAGTTACGCGCTGACGCTCTGAAATGGGTAAATTTGGTCAGGTATTTAGGACAAATATTCGCGGCGCTACGCACTAAAGATGCTTCCCAAGAATCATCCGAATAAACTGGGTTGCAGAGACTTACGACCGAGTCATTGAGAATTTCATACCGCAAATTTGATACTGCAAAATGTTAACCTTATGTAGTTGAACATTATGCAGCTTTCTAAGTAAACGTGGCCGAATTAATACGTTTTTACACAATACTTCATTCATGAAGATATTGTGGAGCTTTCTTCTCGATTCATCCAGTCTATCACCACAATAGAAGCCCCATTACACTGACAATAGTTATAAACTGGTAATCTACATTTTGTGAAGTGAGCTCTATTGCAAATCTTTGCGGCCACAATCAGAATTTCAGTGGATCCAACTTCCGCCTCTATAATATAGCTTAAATTGGCAATAATACACAATTTAATGAGACAACTGCTGCCACTACACAAGTACAGGCCCGTTGAATATTTCGTCATTGCTTTTTTTTCTTACTCACTGTAATTTCTTACTTTTTGGGTTTTTTCCACTATATGCTCTGTAATGCCCCTGGCATTGAGTATAAATAAATAGAAACATAATTTGTTTGCAAATCAGCTATGGCCTACACACGAAGCATACAGGAGAAATAGTGTTCCGATTGTCATTGTCTTCCGCCATCAAAGTAGTATCATTTATTGTTAAGTTAGAACTTACCTAATCGTAATAACATTTATGTTAGATTTAGCTATAACTAAGAAATTGTCAATTCTCCTTGTCAATTTCTAGCTTCCATTCTGACAGATTTGGAAATATCCTGCGTGATCTTCCTACTAAAAGGAACTATTTGAAGATGTAGCGCAGCGCCATTTCCATTTGTATGTTAACGTTTGTGTTTCATTTTTGGTGGAGTTGAGTACCGCTTATGTTGAGTACCACTTATATATGTGTTGAGTACCACTCATGTTGAGTACCGCTTATGTTACCCCCCTCCTATTTGTATGCATTGACGTGTGTGTGTGCCGCGAAAAGAACACGCAGTGCTACTAAGTGAGTGCACGGAGCGAGCGAGCGCATCATTACATGCGAACGCACAGCTGTGGCGGAGATATGGACGATAAAGGAAAAACGAAGCGGAAGTAGCTCTCTGCTACCTCCCAGACCACACCTTTTTTACATGCGGAGCATCTTACACTAGGGGGTAGTCATGCGCCGTCACCGTCCGCAGCCTCCCCTCCTCCTCCGCCAACCATCTGTGCATTCCTTCCTCCTCTCAACACAGAGCGCGCTGCGCTCGCTTCTCGCCTCCATGCGCTCAACAACGCGCCAACGGCGAGCACTGCATCGCTTGCGTCTGCGGAGTCGACATCATGACGATGTACTTCGCGCCCAACCTATCGCGTGCCGCCGTGGAGAAGTACGTCGACGAAGCCGTGAAAGAATACCTGAAACAACGACCACAACGACGAGCCTTCGTGATTGTTGGTGATTTCAACGTCGACGTCATCAAGGATGATTGATTGGGTGGTCGACTACATGGAGTCGCGGCACTCGCTGAAATGAGCAACGCACGACGGTAAACATCATCCGATCACGGTTCGCGAGACGTGCATCGACCACGTCTTTGCAAATTTCGACCTTCGACCACTG